ATTTCAGTAATGTGAATTTATTATAGTTTGGAAAGGTAAGGTTCCTGGTGAAATTACAGGCACATGAGACTTGTCAACTTATGTCCGAGGGTGACAGGCGCAGTGGCAATGCCCCTAATATCTTTGCGATTTAAAGCTCTGAGTGGCACTGCAACTGTTATGGGTACGCGTGTTGCTCAGGCGCTGGACTTGTTCGTCCCGCCACTTGGTATTATAAAAAAAATATTCAAAATTTAAAAATATTCAAAAGTAGAATCACTTCACATATTATTTACTTTTTTTACACTGGGCCTTAGGAGGTTAATACATTGGAAAGACTCGGTCTGTAGCTCAGTTGACGCTGTTTCGAGTCCAATTCAGTCTAGTTACATTGTGTTGTTCAATCTTTGTATCAATAATAACAATTAGTGGAGTATTTTCGTAAAAAAATATATGAATACCATGATAGTAAAACGTCATGATATTCAATAAATGAAAAATGTTGTAAAACGATTAGTCATTTTCAGGGGCCACAAGGAGTACCTGGTGAAAAAGGAACATTAGGATCGAAAGGTGAAAAGGGAGATAGTGCTCCTTCACACAATTTGACAACGGTAAGTATTTTATTACCCTTGAGTTTATCCTTTATTAAGCAAAATAAAACGTTTCCCATTGAATCTGAAATTTTATTACACTTATTTGATTAATGTAGACGTAATATTAAACCGGGTAGCACTTGGGCGCTGTTTCCGCCGCAGAAACATGTGGATTCATTTAAACTTTTAGAAAATAAAGCCGCCGCGGTTTCCACGGCGCCGCGCCTTTGGAAGATACCCGTACACAGATCAACTTTAGGTATCTTTAAGAAAACTTTGTAACAAAATTTTACTGTCCTTGTAATTTTTTAATTTTAAATTTTCTTTATGTCTAATAAAATATATAAAATGTTTATTCGTTGGAGTAACATACCATTTATGATGTAAAACTAACACAGACCAATAATTAGGCAGTCTCTGTGGAGCGCGAAAGGAGAAAAGAAAACAAAAAAAATTACACAATAAAAAATTAAAAACAAAAATTACTTATAGATACAAGGTGAAAAAGGGGAAAAAGGAAACGACGGAAAACCAGGACCGCGCGGTGAACCAGGACTATGTCCACATTGTGGCCCGACCGTCCAGGGTCCACCAGGCCCGCCCGGCCCACCAGGTCCACCTGCACCTGTACCACCAGAGCCACATTACCTGGAGAATGATGATGATTTTTATACGACTACGACTGTCGTTTATAGATCTATTACAGCGCTTATTAAGGTTAGTTTTTATTTGTGTATGGGAAATCTATCATATCTTCGAATTTATTATATAACTGATCTTTCAACCCGTTCATGGACTGTACTTAAATATTACCGCACACCATAAATGTCATTATTTTTCTTTGTGCCGTAGTGTTTTTATTGATTGAATATCGTAATTACGCTTTGTCACTGACGGCTGATCCCTTTCAAAATTTTATATAAAAAAGTTTGGCTATGACTGTAGTAGGATGAACGCCATTGTATGATATTTAATTAGTACTAAAAACATGCGTTTTTCGAGAAAAAAATAAGTTATTTAATTTAATAATTTCTTTTATTATTAGAAAGTTCAACGACACTGATATGTACTCATCAATCACTTCATACAAATACGTCGGCGTCCACCTCTTAATGTAACGGCCACAAATGTTTGCGAGTAAATTATTGAATTTTGTCAGGACGTTATTGATGTCTTCTCTACGGAGAAGCACTTGGAAATCGCACTGTGGAGGTGGTTTTCCACTGGCGAGGCAAGACGAGAATTGAAATCTCGCCGGCCTATTTCCACCAAAAATTAATAGAAATAGAGACCATTTATTGCGACGCCACAATAAAAAAAGAAAGGCACAAAAAACAGCGTAACAACATGTAAACAACAAGTTACATAGTACTATACTGGTATATGTGCGGCTGTGGTGTGGTGCACACACACACACACACACACACACGTATATATATGTATATATATATATATATACAGTTCATTTAGCGACAAACTCGCGGCTGAAATAACATGTCCCGTAAATTATGTTAACGGAAGAAAAACTCAGATGAATCCATCATTTTTTTAAATCTCAAATCATAGCTACCACGATCTCGCGCGAGCTTTCGCAAGTAATCGTATTTCCGCTGCAAAGTATAATAAAGTATAATAGTCTACACAGGCAGTAATACGGTTCAATATTAAATCAACTAATATTTCAATTCTCGCCCGTCCTCGTTAATCTAGACCATTTCCATCAAAGATGCGCTAGGAGAGAATTCAAATGTTGCCATAGAAATTTCAATTCTCATCTCGAGTCGTCTCGCCGGTGGAAAATCATCTTAAAACCTTGGTGTTTTTTATAATCCATATAGCAAAACGGGGTACACCGTATTATCTTATTCTGATATTCCTTTTTCGATAAATCCCGTTACCGTCCTTATTATCGAGATATAAAATTAATTCAAAACATATTCTCAAGCTTATTCATTCCATTTCCAAGACTTCAACTTCATTACAACAAAGATGAAAAAAATGTATCACCACCTGCTATTCTTATTTACATATTTTCTAATTGATAGATAATGAAAAAAGAATTATAGATAGAATGGCTGATTTATTAATAGCTCTAATATTCATGGTACTGTTATAGAGCGGTTCAGGAATAGTTTTTAAAAAAGAAACAAATTTAACCCAAAAACACCCTTTAAATAAATATTTGACAATAAGGAAAATTATAGCGAGAAACAATGTGTCGCGACGGCGTTCAAATCCAATCTGCCTGCACGTGGAGGCTTTTGGTCGGAAGCGCTTCTAGTTTCTTATTGCATTTGCGTCAAATGAAATAGGAAACGTGACATGCAAAAAGTATGGCTAAACATAAAAATTAATTATTTTTTATATGTTGCCGGCTATATGGGTATGTAACAACCCCCTCCTTAAGTTCGATCATCACAGTTGAAGTGATGAGAGAAACCTGTTTGAAAAGCTGATATGAACTGGAGTTAGATTTGAACCTCGTCTGGAAACAATAGAAATTAGACATACATTTAAGAAATTAACGGTTAAGACAAAATAAAAAGATATCGAAATAAAATGTTAACAGCTAGTTAAAATTAGTTTACATTGAAAATAAAATCATGTTAATCTATAAAAATATAAAATTAATCAGAAATCATGTATTTTAGGTGTTGTCACAATAATATTACTTTTAATTGGAGTTGGCGTACTTTTGATTTCAACTTCGTCGGGTTCCGAAGATGAAAAAGATGTGTTTAGACTTTTCTGAATAAATACACACTGAACTGCTGGTTTCTTCTGAACCTTCTCATTATTGCATTGATTATATATTCTTACGTAACAAGCTCCAGGGTCGATGCGACAAAATGCTTTCCTAATTTTAAATAACATATATAGTGAGAAAATAATACCAATCATATAGCTTATGGACATATAATGTACACCATACCTTTGGAAATGTGCTGTGCTTTCCAGCTTATTTAGTTCTTGTTCAAATGAATCTAAGGGTCGTATTCCAGAACTCTACTCAATGCTCAAGTCAGGATTGCACTGGAAACACAAGCATTGGAAATACGACCCTAACGGCAGGGTACTTGAGTATGATTTCGAGTGCTTTAAACCATACTCAAATCCTGACTTGAGCATTGAGTAGAGTTGTAGAATACGACCCTAAATGCACGCTAGCATGCACAAGTGAGTCTAAATTATTAAGATTATCTAACTTATTAAATTTCATCAGTTTTATTTAATTTCTCTTTTTCACTACAGTCATCGATTAGAATATTAAAGCCTGACAACTTATTTGTTACATTGCTCACTACATTCGCGCCTGTAGGATTGAACTGTAATGTTTTGAAAAAGGCATTACATCCTTTCGGAAGTGATAAGGTGCCTGTTACGAACAAGACGATATTAATACTCTCTAAATAATTCTTACAGTTAATATGACACTTAGCAGGTTCTGATTGAACAAAACTCCACCTATTGTTACTTAACTTATGAAATATGTCAACAGAACCGTGCAAAAGTTTTGTAACACATGATTCCGGCAAACTTTTTACCACTTCACTATTATAGATAGTTTCACAGGTCGGATTCGCAATTGTAGAATAAATATTAGTCAGAGAACACACGAAACCCTTTCCACTGATCACTTTGCATTTGTTGTTGAGTAGAACATAATATGATCCGCTGCTATCGCTACTCGTACATAAGGACTTGTAGGAGCAATAATAATATAAGTATCGGGTTTCGACATATCATACGGTGTAGGTAACGAGATAACATTATAAAGATTGAATATTTGAGGATTGAAGGAGGATTGAACATTTTTGTTAAAATGATGGTAACATACTAAACTTGAAATATCTATTAATTCATGAATATTTTGTAAAGTTAAAGCCACTAGAGTTCGTAATGTCTAGGCACGGTATTTCTGTAAATGATTATCACTAATATCAGGTTTCTTACCACGGCATGATTTCTTTTTATTTTCCCGATATTTCGATTTTATAGTATTTCTGTGTTTATCAAGTTCGGTAAACAGCTGATGCGGACTTAGTACAGTCAGGTGCAAAATATTTCATTTAGCAAAGAGTATTGCATTATTAACGTCATCGATGTCAAAGGATAATGTTAATATGATGGATTCCAAAGAATTCATTAGAGAATTGAGTTGTGACTTGATTTCTAATTTATCATTTGAGTTTGAAACTTTTATAATTACTTCCTCGAGGATTTCCATATTTTTCAGTAGACGTTTTTCATTTTCATTGACCTATGACATAGATTGATTTAATATAGAAAGAGTTGATTCGATAACATGTATGTTATCGAATGGGCTAACTGTTTCTCATCCGATTGTATTTTATCAACAGCATCTGTGCATTTGACCGCGTTTTCAGAATCCAAGGTACCGAAAAATGTTTTTAAGATTAAACCCCCGAAATCCGTAAGATCACGCTTATGGCTTTTGGACTGCTCATCAACGAGTAAGTATGATATGGATGAGAAGTTGGTTACGTTATTTATATGTTGATTTCCCAAAGCGGACAAATAGTTGACGCATTCCTTCTGAATTTTTCACGACGAGAAAGAGTCACAATATAAATTAATTTTCTCGAATAAAAGTTCGACTTTATCTAAATTAGGTTTAATTTTACTGATTTCAATATACGTGACAACGTTGTCATTGGTGAATGTAACATCTAAAAGTTTGTCGAATAATAGGTCTGGACTTCCGTAAATAGTTGTAACATACTTACTGAACATCGGAGCGGTAGCAACCACCTGAATCGGATACGTTAGGCGTATTATGTTACGGTTACGTTAGGTTTGATCGGAAGCGGGCTTTATTTCGTCATAGTGATGACGCACATATTTACGATTAATTTGTAAAGTGACTGTATGATTGCCGTTAATTTTTACAATTTTATAAGGTCCTTTCCACACCCCTGTGTAGTAAGACCTTGTTTTGTTTATGAAGGCATTTGAGATATATCATAAGTAAGTGACAGGCTTCGCGTGTGCATCATAGCGGGTTTTAAATCTCTCTTTCGAGGAAAATACGTTGTCTTGCGCTTTTTGTCGACTGTAGCGCAGCCGATAATTAAGGGCTCGTACGTAATCCGTATATGTGTTGTTATCAATAGCGTCTATACTACTCGGTAGATATGCTTTAAAACCAAGCAAAAGTTCTAAAGGTGGGAAACATGTCGTGCTATGTGTGTTGGAGTTGTATGCGATCATTGCGCTAGGTAAATATAAGACCCACGTATGTGGATTGTCGCCTACGTATGACCTTAAATATTCCTTCAAGGTAGAATGACTTCGTTCAAGTGCTCCGCAGATTTGAGGAGGATAAGGCGAAGCGAAAATATGCTTTATGCCAAATAATTTTTCTAATTGTGTAAGTACTTCCGAAGAGAAGTTTGTGCCTTGGTCTATGATAATCATTTTTGGGATTCCAAAGTGGAAAACGTATTGAACGAGCAATTTAGCTGTTTCCTCGGCGGAGCAGGATTGCATTGTGTATGCTTGAGAATATTTGGTCAGATCATCTTGTAAAGTTAAGATTAATTTATATTTAGATTCTCGGGTTTCTCGGAAAGGACCAACTAGGTCTAGAAAGAGTTTTTCATTAGGTCTGGTTGAAGTGGAAGTAATGATCATAGGGGCATTATTTGTTTGCTGTAAAGGCTTATTAATCTGGCAAGAACGACAGTTTTTTACGTAGTCTTCAATGTCTTGCCGCATATTTTTCCACCAGTACTGAGATTTTATACGTTCAAACATGCGAGAAATGCTGGGGTATCCGGCTGCTGGAGAACCGTGATTCTCTTTGAGGATTCGTTGGTCTTCCTCAGGTGCTGGAAATGAAATAGAATTGCGGTAGGTATTGACCTTAATATTGGTTATGTGGAATAGAAAAACGATCATGTTGTATATTTTATTATATGACAATTTCGTAAAAGGGTCGTTAAAATCTGATATCGCGAATTCCTTTTCTTCGCGTTACCAGAATTGGATCATGTCCCTGTAGTCGCGTAGTAGAGTAAAAATGTCTTTATAAATAATTTCATCGTAGTGGTTAACACGTCCAAAAAGGTGAGTGAAAAGATGTTTCTCATTGGATGTTGATAGGAACGTGTGCAATTCACACTTGACATTGCGAATATTAGGTTCACTCGTAGATAAATTAATAATGTCGGAACAGTAAACGACAGAGTCGTCCAGATCGAGCGACGTTGGGTAAGCAATTAGTTTACACTTCGCCTTAAGTAAGGATTCCTTATGTTCTACTATTGTTGTGTCATATGATACGCCCGACTCTGTGTTGATTTGCAGGAATTGCTCGTACGTTTCAGAGATAGAAGGTGTCGGGTCAATGCACTGTGAAGGCGTAGAATTACATAAGTCAGGATTGAGATCGGAGTCGTTGGATTCTAGGGTGTTGACATGGAATCGAGAGAGAGCGTCCGCGTTAGCGATTAATTTTCCTTGTTTATATATTATCTCATATAGGAAATGAAACTATTTTTCCGGATTTAAATCGCGTATATTTGTTTTTGTTGACTACCAGTCAACCGTGACCATGGGACCTGTAAAGGGCCCGAAACGTCGGTTTGTTTGAAAAAACAAATATACGCGATTTAAATCCGGAAAAATAGTTTCATTTCCTATGTGTAACAATCGCGAAAACCTAAGAACTCGATATTATCTCATAGTTATATTCCTTTAGTTTGAATCGCCATCGGACAAGTCGTGATCCAGGGTCTTTGACGCTCAAAAGTCAAACTAGTGGTTTATGGTCGGTTACAATTTTAAATTTTCGGCCGTATAGGTAGGGCCTGAAGGTCTTTACGCCCAATAGGATAGCCAAAAGTTCCTTTTCGATCGTAGCGTAGTCACCTTCGGCCTTCTGTAGAGTAAGAGACGCGTACGCTATTGGTTTGTCCTTCCCGACTTCTCCCCGCGAAAGTATAGCACCCACTACATAGTTCGAAGCGTCCGTAGTGAGAATAAATGGTTGGTTGAAATCAGGGTATTGAAGAAGTGGAACAGTGGTTAATTTGTGCTTTAGGAGATTAAATAGTTGATCTTGATCTTGGGACCAAATGAGTTCAACGTCTTTTTTAAGGAGAGAAGTTAATGGTTTTGTAATTTTGGAAAAATTCTTAATAAACCGTCGGTAATAACCTACTAGTCCCAAGAGTGATTTTATGTCTTTTGGATATTTTGGAATTTGGAAATTCGACACGGTTTTGACTTTATCAGGATTGGAGCACGCATCCTTATAGATACGCTACCTCTCGATGTAGGAACTCGCATTTGTCGGGTACTTGGATAATCGATTAAAGGCAAGTTGAATTTTTTTCCATATGCGATTTTAAGTCATGGGAATAGATAATACAATCATCGAGATATATGTAGCAATGTAGGCCTTGTAGGCCCGATAGGACAGTGTTCATAAGGTTTTGGAATGTTGCGGGAGCGTTTTTCCAACCGAATGGCATGCGAGTGAATTCGTAATGTCCGGAAGTGCCATTTGTAATAATTATGAAACCAGTTTTGAGAGCGTCTTCGGGTTTAATTTTGATTTGGTGGAAGCCGCTCACTAAGTCGAGAGTTGTGAAATATTTTGAATTACCTAATTGATCAAGTATGTCGGTAATCAAAGGGAGAGGGTAGATCTCCGTGACAGTAGCGTCGTTTAGCTTTCGGTAGTCAATAACTACTCTCCATTTCTGTTTTCCAGAAGCGTCTAATTCTTTGGGAACTACCCATACTGGGACGCTCCGTGATATCGTATGCTGTCATATTGAGTACCGAAATGTTGACTCTTTGATTGAGTTTAACTGACACTATGCAGTTTGCGAGGTAGACTCCTTGGGAGATTTGATGATCAAGTACTAACCCTTCTTTAATATTTTTTTAATTCTGATGGGTTGTTTGCAATTGGATACTCAGTTACCGCTTTTGACCGTGGCGGAATAATGTAAAATGTTTCATTAAAATTAATTGCAAGAGTGTTACTCTGGAAATTTAGGGTTTTATTTGAATATTGAATATCAACGCCCAAATCTTTTAAAAATTCATTTGCCAAGATAATCGATCTTAATTTTGTCGTCGATTGCTTGAAATTCACACATAAAAGAAACAGATGAAGGGGTTGTACATTGATCTAAACTTCTAAAAATAATTGAAAAGAAACCTAGAGTTTCGTAATAGGAGTCATTGTCGCTCTTATTGATCTTGATAGAGATTTTGAAGAGAGTTGACAAAATAGAGATTCCCGTAGGTATGTGTCGAGTATTGGATTTAGGGCTCGACGACGCAGAGGCTCCTGCCAGGGAGGATTGAGTACGACCCGACGAATATATAAGTAGAGGAGGATTTCGGGATTTATTTGTCCGGAGAGTAATGATTTTAGACTGCTTAGATTTTAATGCAGTGCAATAGGACGTGGCTTGCGGCTTGGATTACTCGGATTTACGGCGGCACGTATCCGTAATCCGATTCAGTAGTTTAAATTACTATCAGAATCGCCGACATTAGCATTACTGGGAATAGAATCAGGTTGTAAGTCGGACGAGGATTATAAGTCGTGTGTAACGTGGTATGCCGCGCTATTGTTTGGATTATGGCCATTGAAGTTATTTTTATATATCTCGTTATTCACGTTTTCTGCATTGGGTAATATCGTGGCCAGGTTTTTTACGATATCTACAGGATACCTGTGATTGAAACTTGAAATTAAAGCCGGACGTGGATGGTTTTGGTTCGGATGGCAAGAGATTATTTTCGTATTCTGACTCAGAATGTCCAGATTTTCCGCAAATTTTACAAACTTTTATTTTTACTATATTTTTATAAAGAAGATTTTGCACTTTCTCTTCTTCTAAAGCAATATTTATGGCTGAATCTAACGTTTTCGTATCCCGACAGCGCAGCATATTACCCAAGCGAGGATGAAGTCCCAAACAAAACGCGTGCAGGGATCTTCGGTCAGTGCAATGCGACCCGATAGATCCTTTTTTAGTGTTTCCGAATTATAAATTTCGGATTGGAGAGCTGTCAAACAGCTTTCCGTACGGAGGGCGTATTGGGCGACAGTCAAAGACAGATAGGTTGAATGAAATTGCGTAATACTTGGATTGGGGAGCCCTTCCCAATGTCGTCAATGGTGTTTTTAATTCCGTCGTTTTGAATCAATTGGCGGTTATAGTTATATAAAATTGTAATAGGATCGAGAATAGAAGGTCGAGATAAGCGATGTCAAAATAATTAACCGGTAACGATATAAGGGAGTAATATTCCATTCACAGAAAATTCGTCAGGAGCACGGTGTAGGTGACTATCATTTCAATGCAGGTCAGGCGCGACGAGCGGTGATTACGTGGCAGCTGATGCAGGTAAGTTGGCAGCTCAATCACGAGTTTACGATCGCGGCAAGGACGATGGTGGCAAGACGGCAGCGGCAGCGAGGTTGCAGATAAGTAAGCGCGTCGGCGCTTTTCGTAAGATTTGAGAACAAAGCAGCAGGCCAGTGGCTACGGTGAGACTCAACCATTGGATGTGGCGGGAATTCGACGAGGATTCGCACAGGAGAATCCCCGGAGATTAGTTGGAGAAGTCGGTCATATAAGACTCCAGGATACGGCGACACGAAGCGACGAGGGTGTTGCTTTCGTAGAACGGGTTGGTCACAATAATTATTATACAGTTTCCACATGGTTCCCGATCCGAACGCGTATGGAATACCACCGTAGGAGAACGACGAAAAAATACGCTTGTATCCCACTCCTGATACCACTGTTACGGAGCGGTTCAGGAATAGCTTTTTAAAAAAGAAACAAATTTAACCCAAAAACACCCTTTAATTAAATATTTGACAGTAAGGAAAATTATATCGAGAAACAATGTGTCGCGACGGCGTTCAAATCCAATCTGCCTGCAAGTGGAGTCTTTTGGTCGGAAGCGCTTTTAGTTTCGTATTGCATTTGCGTCAAATGAAAGAAGAAACGTGAAATGCAAAAAGTATGGCTAAACAAATAAATTTTGTATATGACTCCGACTATATGGGGATGTAACAGTACGTACCTATATACTTACGTACCTATATTGAATCAACTAATATTCCTTTTTTACCGTTTCCGCCAGTAGTTATTAGCAGCCAAAGTAATGCCCATTTCTCCGCTCAACCGCTATTCCTCGTTCAAAAAATTATTTCGCCGTATTGTCACCTCACCACAAGCCAACACCTCACAAGCAACGTTCAGAAATAACACTTTTGATTATCTGCAAAACTATTGATATAATAAAGTGCTGACTGATCGCGCTAGTAACAACAAATAAAAGTATGTGTCTCATATTACATGTCTTTATATTGTTTTCAACCAAATATTGGAAAACGATATAAGAACTTGCCTTTCAAAAAAAGTACAAACATTACTCTGAAATATATTCAAATAACATTCCCAATGAATAAAATCAATAATAATAATAAAGGTTTCCCATTCGCTTTTTCCAGCGAACCGCTACAACACCCCCGGGAACGTTGGCCTACGTATTACGGGAACAATCGTTACTGTTGAAACTCCAAAATGGATGGCAATACGTTACGGTAATGTATTTACTTAATATTTACATTTACTCTTTTGTTTCCATAATATTTACCTCGTACCTAACCAGAGCGATATAGTTTGCTACACAAATTACTAAAGTTGGTATCCTACGAATAACTTTTTATATGATATTTGGATGGAAGTACTGCCACCTTACCATTTCTGCCGCCAAGCAGTAATCTGAGCAGTACTGAGTTCCGGTTCTGAAGGCTAAGGGTATGGGTGGGATTACAGGCATATAACTCTTGTCAACATATATCTCAAAGTGACGAGCGCAATGCTAGTGCTTCTTAAATCTTTGCGATTTAAAGCTCTAAGTGACACTGCAGCTGCTATGAAAATAAGATATATATAAAAAAAGATCACTCGTGGCTTTATTATACTAAGGGTACGAAATCTTTGTATGTATGTTCGTCCCATATCCGTTCCATTATTATTCATCCGATTACGATAAAACTTTCGTGACTTGTCGCTGTACTAGCCCGCAAAAGTTTCTGAAGTATTAGAACCGTTTTAAAACACCAGATGGAGCAATTGTTTCAACAAAATGTGTGTAAGGTCAATTGCGGTAAGCGGAACATACTTTGACTACACATGTATGTACAATATTTTGAGTCAACAGTTTTGAGCTCTAAGAAGAACAGGAAAAACCAGGCGCACGGCTTGTTCGACCCGTCACTTGTTATTGTACGAGAAGGTACCTGAACCGAATTTCAAGTGCTCGATTTGCGAAAATTTTGTGGGCAAAGACAGCACATTGTGTTCATTTGTTTTTTATGTTCACAAATCGGCAAACAGTCAGTCTACTTGATGTAAATTGGTGTCACCTTAAACGTCTAAACCATGTGTAAAAAAAGGGTGCTGAAATAGTAAAAATCTGGGATTCTACTGTACTCATTAATAAAAAAAATTGTAAAACAATGAGCGTCAAGTTGTGTGTGGACACAAAAAAAAATTCAATTACCAAAAATCGTATTGCAAAAGGGGTATGTTTTTATGAATACATTGAGCTCCAAAAATGTTGTTACTCCTTGTTACACATTGTAGACATTTGCAATGTTAAGAGCTTAGTAGAATAAGATCAAGTAAGGTAACTCTATACAAACGTAGTAGCGCCTCTTGCATGTCGATATGATATGATACCTCACACGTAAGTTGTTGTAAGTCCAAATACCATTTTTTGCTTTTTAACTTGAATATAACCTTTTTTTATTTTATTATTTTATTTTTCTGGTTTCATGTCCAAAGTAAAGAAATCACTTAGTGTTATATTTACTTTCAAACAAGTAACCTATACATACGGCGCACTATAAGTTTCCGGAACTGGCCACTTACATAAACAATATTTAAAAAGTAATTACAACATTTGCAAATGGAACTCTTTGGCTGTAGAATACAGTTTGTTTCATCTAACTATCACTTGTTTTTACATTGTGGCGTCATTTTAGAAATTGGTTGTCTACATCACCATGGATTTAACTCGTGAAAATTTTCGTAGTATGATTTTTCTACGACATTAAGTGTAATTTAACAGCACAGCTTAGCGGAGCTTCGCTCGGCTTCAAACTGCTTTTAGCGACGAAGCACCATACAAGACGACTATTTATAGCTGGTTTGCAGAATTCAAACGCAGTCGTGTAAATCTCAGTGACGAATTTCGTGATAGTCGCCCGTCCACTGCTGTGAACAACAAAAACATCGATGCTGTGCGCCGTATGATCAAAACAGACAGGCATGTGACATATCATGGGATTGGGGCATTTTTAGGCATAGGCATGAGTCAAATACAATCAATACTACACAAACATTTGGGTGTGAAAAAGCTGTGCTCTCGGTGGATCCCACACAATTCGACTAAGGCTCAAAAAATGGATCACTTGGTGCAATGCCATGCCTATGTTTACAGCCTGTGGGTAATAACAACTAAAATTATAATGTGACAACCCTACGCCCCGATTGAGTGTAGGGAGTGCCCTACTTGGTCTTCTTATACTATGTTAAGAATATCCTTAAATTTGCAAATGCATTCACAGTCATGAGGCATAAGATTTTAAGTGACCCGGACCCAGTGTTCAATGTAACTGTAATTATGCTGGCTTTTCCTACTTTTCTATCGGAAACACAGCAGTACTAGTAAAGTTCTCTATTCCCGCATCGGTAGGTTTACCTAGGTATTACTATGCTTGTTGCAGATCTTTGTTCTTGGTTTTTAAAGACGTTTTTGCCGTAGCGCCATCTGTGAGAAATCATTTTTTCTGCTTAAATATTTTATAAAGGTAATTAAACATTACAAAAATGTTAATTTTCTCAACAAACAAAGATCATCATAATTATTGCGTCATAACAATACAGTTCGCAATAAAAATATTTTATATTGTACTGATTTCAGATGGGCTCTCTGGTTCACCCATACGATCCTTTTAGAACAACGACAACAAGGCCACTACCATCTCGACTGGAAACATCAACGTTGCCAAGCATACCATCAAATCCAGATCATATTTACGTAAGATCTTTTACACACTTTAGAATTACGATACATATTCTCTCTCTGTCATGAGGTACTTCATTCCCACTGGGAGCAATGTTATCCCACCAGGCTAGCCTGTATATTATACTCCCACTGTGTGCAGGTGTTTTTGTTTTACACAAAAGACCTGTGGTAGTCTAATGGTTTGACCTATCCGGGCTCACACCTCATAGTGTCTCGGAACTTATGTGCGAAATTTAATTTGAAAATAAAAAAAATCGGTGAAGAAAAACATCGTGACGAAACCTGCACGTCGAAAAAGGTTCATAAACCAAACATTGTGATAACTCAACAAAAACAAAAACCATGATTATTTTTTATAAAAGAGCTGTGACAATCGAATAAACAAACGATCTTATGAACGGAATGGAAAGACGAAGGATTTTTTTAAATATACACACGGCATTGTATTTTTTTCTTCACCGAAAAGCTCATGGTATTTCAAATTCAATTCGCACATATATTCCAAAAAAACTCACAGGCCTTGCCCGGATTTGAACCCACGACCCTCTGCTTGAAAGGCGGTAGGTCAAACCTAGTCAAGGCTACCGTAACTAGGAACAAATTGATCGTAAATCAGGGTTTTTATGATTTATAAATGATCAGGATCTTTATGATAGAAATATTTGAAGTATTTATAATGACTGGTATTTTAAATATGTTTCATTATCATTAAGAAAGAAAGACAAAATAAATAAAATACATTTATTTGTTTACCATAATAACAGCACAAAGGAAAAAAAGAAAACGAAACAAAACATAATCAGAACATTCAACGTAAATCATAAATAAATAATTACGAAACAAAAAACACATTTTGGTTCCTTACTATGCTCAATAAAAATTAGGTTAAATTAAAACACAAACAGTAGGCACTAGATATAAAGATATTTTGTGTGGTGCCAGCCGCGGTAACAAAAGGGTCATAAACTCAGTATTTGCTGGAAAACGCAATGCGTTACCAGCACTGATTTTTATTATATTAACACATTTTAACCATTCTACAAATGGTATGAAACAATATTTCAATACATGTAAACATAATATCAGCTTCTGAATTTGAACGGATTACGTGAATCAAATTTCACCGCGCTGGGGGCAAATCCAAGTTAAATGCAAAATTCCACGGTTCACGCTTGCTTCATTTCACTGCAAAACCACGTGTGTAAGATTTATTGCGTATAATTTAATAAAATGCATAACTTAACACGTTACGACGCATAAACATAGATTAGACACATTTTGTGCATATTTAAATATTGGAAAATAGCTTTAGAGTTCACAATCGTTGCATTCAAAGCTAGGTAGGCCTGGTTTATAAACATCTGTAGACGCCATATTGGGTGATATCTTAAATAAAGAGTCATATACAAAAGAACCGTGGTAGTCTAATGGTACGACCTATCATACCATTACACTACCACCTCATAGTGTCTCGGAACTTATGTGCGAAATTTAAATTGAAATTTATCATAACTTTTCGCTGAAGAAAAACATCGTGATGAACCTGCACGTCGAAAAAGGTTCACAACCAAAACATTGTGATAACTTACCAAAAACAAAAAGCCATGAAGGAGAAAATAAAAGAGCTGTGACAATTTAATCTATATCTATATCAAAAATATGCACATTTTTTTGCAGTATAAATCCGAACCGAATAAACAGTGGCGCATACATTACATATAAAACTGTTCACACGATCTTTGTCCTGCAAAAAAAACGCACACATTCAAACGTACATCGAATACTGTAAAAAAACGTGCAGTGCAATGTCGTTTGAACCGGAGGTTACTGTGTTTGACTATGGAATACTAAAAAGTTATTTTAGTACAAATAAGAACAATATTAGCGTCAACACTGATACCAAGAAAAGAGCCTAGAAGAAACAGGGCTAAATGTACTTGATTCTTGCTGTGCGCCACTTTTTAGTACGTGTATCCGCTATTTCCAGATTCGATTAGCAGCACTAAACACACCATATACGGGCAATATTTATTCCGTAACAAACAGGACTGGACGTAATGCAGCTAACCTGGATTGTCATATACAATCGCGTGGGTATGATGGCAACTTTGTCGCCTTTCTGGCTGGCCAGTAAGTATACCAATTGCTGTCCTATCAAGTAGAGCTATACAATAAAAGTTGCGTAATTGCGTAAATTGGATAATTTACTAAAGAGATTGCGAATGGCTGTAGCGAAGTGATTTTTAGTGTTTGATTACTTCGTTTGAGAAAAGGTTTACTTTTTTACTTAGGTGCAGGTTACTTATGAACTAAAACTGAGGTCCAATCTCCAATAACGTTCATATTCACTGTACTACTAGAACAGATAATAATAATAACACATAACAGCAGCTATAGTTCGTCACTGCAATAATCCGCGCTTTGTTTAACTTTTACAATTTGAACATATTACACAAGTCTATCGGATTATTTGATGATTTCACCAATTACTGTCAACGTCGGATTTCCAGTTTTGGTTGTTTTATTTGGTACATTTCAAGACACAGAACAATAAATACAATAGAAGAGCTTAGTTTGCGTGTCACGGAGTGCCAACAGTTCACGGAGCAAACTTGAGCTAGTCCGCCATTTTCGCTTTATACGATATGGTCGTTTCTATATTATTATATCATGCAGTACCTCGAAAATTGTAAATAAATGCCTTATTTCGCTACTTCGGAATGCAAAAATGATAGTCGCACTTGTAATATTATCTATAGTGGTGTTTCGTATTATCATGAAATCTTATTTTATTTAATTTTAATACATTTTCAATTTTTTGTTTATCATTTTTTTTGTTTCAAGAAGCGACAGTAATCCTTATACTGCTGCAATATGGTCGCTTTTTTGGAGAACTATACATATATCTCCGAATTAACCGCTAGATGGCAGCACATTAATTGATACTTCAATATATAAAATCAAAACGTCGTTACTTGATTGCAAGTAATAATAGTAATAACATGTATTGATGATATTGAACTTTCAACGTTATGCCAGTAGGGTAAAGTTTAAATTATACCTATTAACAGTCCAGAATTTATATTTCTTTTTACATTTGAAACAACGACCAATCGTTATGAAGACTTCATAATGTGTGAGTTTTGGCGACAGCTGTTCTGATAGTAATTGAGGCTTAAGGCACTTCCATTGTTATTTTTTCCTTGTTTCAAGATGACAGGTGAAGTCTCACACACGCTTTCCAAAGAGGGCGCGAGCAATTTTTAGAAATTTAGTACGAAAAATTTTATGAGATAACGTTTAGCCGTTTCAATAACGACGCGACGCTACCAACAAATCGAAATTCACATAATCGAAATTTATATGAAGTAACTATTCTCAGGAAACTTTTAGTTTCACGAATTATGATTTCATGTAAAACCTAATTTACTGTTATCCACAAAGTGCTTATAGCATAAAATAGATTTTGAAAATTTAACAATTTTTTCTGGATTTAAATCGCGTATATTTGTTTTTCAAACAAACCAAGTTTCGGGCTTATTGCAGTTCTGACAAAACTCGAAAGTGTCCGAAACCTTAGTTGAAAAATACCTAAGAGCTCGAAATTAAATAGGTTTGTTAAACACATATTTTTAGGATTGAAGACCCAAGAAGCATAGTGAAAATCAAGAGTTCAAAGATAACTGTCGTTAATACAAAAGGCCACGTCCTTTTCAACTCCTGGTCTAACGTGTTTGATGGTTCAGGAGCTCCGTTTGCAAGTCCAGTAGCGGATATATACAGTTTTGATGGAAAGAAAGTCATGATTGATAACAATACTTGGTAAGTTATTTAGCAGTAGAAAACATTGATTGAAAATCTTTTCAGCATTCTTCATTCGGTTTTTAAATATTACGCGGCAAATTGACCATCAACTTCACTCCGTATTTTCATATAGCAACCCTGCCAATGATCAACATGTCATAAAACCACGTCAGATGACTGATTAAACTGAACAGATTGAAACGACACCAGCACCGCCTCCTCTGCGACCTCACACAGTTTGAATTGTCAAGTTGATGTGACATTTTGTAAACAAAGAAATCATGATCATGACTAGTTCATAGATTCGCTTATAGATAGCTTAATAAATCGTTTCTCTAATAATTAGAAATCAACCGCGTAATAATATTAGCTAACATCTATCCTTTTGTAAAGCACGTTACAAGAATTCTGCTACATTACGTTTGAAGTAATAACTGGTTCCGACATGTAAATATTTCAGGCCTATTAAAGCTGTATGGCATGGAGGAGATCTCTATGGTATAAAACAACCAACAGCGTTTTGCGACGAATGGCAGAATGGCAATCCGGATCAATACGGGACTGCGTCATCTCTTTATAGTAATAAATTGTTGGACCAGAAAATGTAAGTGACTTTTATTTGTTTTAACACACGATATCTTGAATATTCTGAAACCACTTACTAATCAATTTTGTGTAATCATTTATAAACGGTATATTTTCGATCACTATTTACAAGAATAAATCAAGTAAAGCTACAGTAGTAGAATGAGGGTAATGTCTCATACTGAACCATAAAAGAGTTTTGTCTAATTAGGCGCTTATAACACTTTGCCACCAGGCATGCTTATAATAATGTGTCCTCTAGTGTATAATGATATAAATAATACACAATATGATTTCTTGATCTGGGATAGTATGAGGAAATCAATCCAATATCATAGAAGGAACTATTCGGTCTTTCTTTGGAAAAACAAACTTGGTATTGTCAATTTTTTTGTCAAATATGAGTTATCAATAAAATGAATAATATTGACAGATTTTTTTTTAATGCTAATCGACACAGTTTCTTGTAGGAATCATTTCATTGTAACGCAAGAAAAAAATTGGGCCAAACATAGTTGTTTTTATGCAATAGGAGAATGCACAACTCGTTTATAAAGTATTTCTTGTCGATACCATACTACACGAAACTGAACTATGGAGCGCTTTTATGGCACGTAGAAGTTTTTGCACAGATTTACGAACTGCATGCTATTACGAATTCTTTTAATTAAATTGAAAACATAAAATTTCAAGTTTAGAATGTACCGAGCTTAAACCTTAATGCATACAATAAGGTGGAGGTGATATTGAACATTTCAAATCATCCGAAGAACAGAGTCCGATGTGAGTATATAGCGAAAAGACAATAAGTACGTTACGAGAATAATTTCATTATTCAAACTGAGGCCAATGTAAAGGTGTTTTGAGAATTTATATATCTAGTTTCGTTTCGGAAATTATAAAATCGAACAACAGTCGATCTGACATCCACAGCGAAGAAGAACAAACGAAATGTACTATGTCCTGAGAACAAGTAGTATTGCACATAAGCCTTTGTTCTACGGATGAGTCGATTTTATTGAAGCATTAAGTAGTTCTATTAAGGTAACAAATTGTATGAAAAAATATTTTATTAAATTTGACCAAATTCTGCTGTAGTATTTATTATTTTCCGTACAAGAATCTAAGATGACCAGCATTTTAAAAAAATTAAGTCAATAGTCCATTTCAATGGATAACTCACGCTTGACCAAAAATGTACTGTATCAAATTTGTTTTCACAAATAAAGACCACATGGTCCCTAAACAGTTTCCCTATATCTCCTACTGTTTCAAATTTCCCCATACTATTCCAGTTAAAAAACACACTGTATACGCTAAATATATGTTTCAGGTACCCCTGTGATAGTAAATTAATAGTTTTATGTATAGAAGCTACAAGAAGAAGACAAAGGCATTCTGGGTAAGGAATAATCTAATTTAAACATTTAAGAAGCTATCAATTTTTAATTTATCTTCAAAGTTAATTTTTCGAAATCCTTGAAGGAATTAAATGGCTTATTCAAATAATTCAAACTGAATCTTAAATAACTTTACGTTTTCAATAAGTTACAAACGCTTGGGTAGACCAAAACCTGATGGCAAGTAGGGAAATTGAATATTGATTTTGGCAACATTTTATATGGGATAAGGAAATTGGAAAAAGCGATAGATGATTGATAGTTGTGACTTTTTGACGTCCTACGCAATGTATATAATATAATACATTATTAAAATAACATGTTTTAATTGTGTTTTATGGTGTTAACCTTCCCATTACTCTCTATTGTACTGCGCTGAAGAGATTTTTTTCCCATTTTATTGAGCTGTATTGCCATCAAAATTATCAACAGTTAAAAATAGGGAATATCGAATCAAAGGCATTTGTAAACTGATGCCACTGATGGTAAATAAAGAGAAATTGAATATCAAGTAATTTGTTTATTTACAATGAAATTCTAAATTTTTAACCGATTTCAAAAAAGGAGGTGCTCAATTCGGCTGTATTTTTTTTGTATGTTTGTTACGCGATAACTTGTGAACCGATTTTGATAATTATTTTTTGTTGGTAAAAAGGTACTTCAGTATTAGTCCCATTTAAATTTAAATAAAATATTCCACCTCTACGGTTGGCATACTAGGGGATGAATCCGGTTTCGCGCACTTCCCGGTAATCGATTTCAATAAAATAGTACCTCTCTCTCTACGCTACAACCACGGCTACACTCCCACAGTACCACGCCATGGACAATTTTTAGCTGAATTATTATTATATTTTTTTTATTATTTTTATTCTATCAAGTGACGGGACGGCATTCTCGCCATATTTACAGAGATCATTCTATATCCAAAACTGAAACCAAATCACTAAAAAAATAAATAAATAAAAAAAATCCAAAATTTTTATTTTTTATTTAATTGCGGTAACCAAGTTTGATCCAAATGTCATTGACTTGCACTACACGTGGCACAGGTACCCGCAACCATTTGAATAATGACCTATGCACAGTTTGCGCAGAAAATATGCATTTTAGATCTATTTGGTGGCAGGGTACGAGTAGAGACGGGGGAGTATCGTATCGAGCGCGTGATTGGTAGATCATCAGTCCACCTTGCGTATTGTGTCTGCGTTCATCGCGTGCACGTTCTAGTTTCTCACGAAATGCAACGTGGTTAAAAAAAACCGCTACCATGTGCATTACCATACAGTGCGTTCTTATGGCATGATTTGAAACGTTTAGTTTACGCAGATTACGAGTGTCGAAGAATTGCGAGCAAAAATCGTCTCTGGTTTCTTTCTGCTTTTTCTGTTGTGAAGAGTGTGCTAAGTTGAAACAAAACTCAGCATATCTGTGGCTGCCTCCTGTACGGAGCCTGCCACCAGCTTTGGAGCTAGGTACTTCTGGCACTAATTTCATGTAACCTAAAGTTGGTAACTACCAAAGCTAAGTTACAAAAAAACCTTTTTTCAGTCAACTTTTGTAACTCATGTGAATAATTAGTAAATTATAACAATACTAGTACATACATAAACATGAATTGAAAAATAGGTAAATAAGCAATCGAGAAAGATTTCATATCGCTCGGTGAAGCGGGTGGCGGGGTCACTGTCCTCTGCGGTGAGTACACTTGCGGAACAATTTTACAAAACTTCACTAGATACAATTAGCCAGAATGTTGAACGGAATATTTTTTAAATATTTTTAGACGATTTAGCATTATTTCTATTATTAATTTCTTAAACGTGGCGAGAATGCAAATCAACACCCTGTATCTCTTTTAATCTTAGTTATGGAGACGCTTGAACCAGCTAAGATTCAGAGCGGTCCTTTTTCGTTCTTATAGTTAAACAAAAATTACTAAGTCTGTCGAACTGCATTATTGAGTTTTATGTGACGAAACCTGTTATGTATATTTGTGTCTCCTTGACGAAGCTTACGTTGCGTAGTTTTTTTAATTAATAAACTAAATTTTATTTTACATTACATTACTTATTATTTCGGTGTCGTGTCGTATAAGGAGGTCAAGGAGGTGGCTTGTAGGAGAGATGACTGGAAGATGCTCTACCGACAAGAGTACAACTCATAAGTTCGATGGTGATGACTTATTATTCACGTATTTCTAATTACTCTCATTTGGTCTAGTATAATGCACACACTCATAGCCCGGCCCTAGGGAAGTCCTGTATCGCGGGTGCCATGCATGCATGCATGGGTAGACAATCACAAATTACACCCAAACTCAAGAGAGAAGTAAATGTAGGCCATTCTCAAATATTTCTCCCAACTCGGGAACCTAAGTCCGGGACTTCTGCGTGGCAGTCGAAACGAACCCAAAACCTCCTTATCCAACGCCCACAGTGCAATCCGTTGGAGCGGTCAATTGTCAACAATCGAGTTATTTTAAACATAAACACTAACTTATGGAATGTCATACTTTTGTTACAGATCGAGAATGCAGGAACAGTACAATAGAAAAAATACAGTGGCATATAGGAATCGAATACCACGGTTATAGCACCCACATAGAACTAAGAGACGATTACTAAACTTACAAGTGTGATTGATTTTAACGTTATCGTGAAATCAGTGTTGTGATTTACAAAAAAGTATTTTCATAAAAATCTTAAATACGTATTATTGACATTGCAGATTTTTAATTTATTGTACGAAGTTAAATTTAAGTAACATGTTTTAAGTTTAAATTAAGTTTGAATACCTAAAACTGGTGCCATACTTTTCTACTTTTATAACGCTTTATAATTTACTTTGTACGCACAGAAATAAACGTAACTAAGAAAACATATTTAGTACCTACCTCTTTTTTGTAACCAACACTTTCAGGCTAGTTGTAAAAAGTTTTCAAGGCGGAGAACACTCATTGAGCAAAAAACGTCGACAACGCAGTGTGATCTTTAAACTATCACACACTACATATAATTTTATTATACAGTCGTGACCATGGGACCTGTAAAGAGTCTGAAATCATAGTATAATTTAACAGGTAGTGCAATCCCATACCAACGTAGCAGCGCTGCTTGTAAGAGCCTTAGCACACGGCGTAATTTATACGCGCCGTAAACGCGCATAACGTGCGCGTACACGCGCGTCATCTGCACGTAACCGCGCCGCAGACGCGTAATGAATCGAGTGAAAACATCACCCGCAAACATCGCGTTGCATGCAAGAAGTTTATATAAAATTTCACGTAGTTGCTTCATTTCGAAAATTCAATGAAATTAATAAACAAAACTAAAATTAAAACTATCTCTTATCAAAATGCGCGATACATACGCGCGTATAAAATAATCTCACGGTGCACTTGAATTGCACAGCGCGGGTCATTGTACGCAACATTTATTATAGAAATGAAGCATGTCAAAGTCAAAGATCATTAATTATTCCATAGATAAAATAAATTTACACTTGAAAACGTCACATTTACATTACATTACATTAAGCTCCCGCTCGTTCACTACGCTGATTTCCCGGAGAAGAACGAGCAAGAAACTCTAGGGATTGCTCTTTTCAAATAAACTTATATGCTATGGAATCCACTTTGAACCAAATTTGTGTCGATTCTGGAGCCATGTCGTTCGTCGTTCCATACACCTTTATCTAACACGTAGTCTTCAATTTTGTAATAAGACTTTTCAATCAAAATATTTTTAATGTAGGTTTTAAATTTAGGAAATGATAATATTAATATATGCTCCGGATTCTTATTGCAAAAACGTATACAGTTCCCCATAAAAGAGTCGTTTACTTTGGTTAAACGAAATCGTGGTACCATGAGTTTGGACTTAGCTCTAAGGTTAATAATAATATTAAGAGAAAGAAGATATCCATAAGGATATCTTCTTCCTTATTATAATTATGTATATTTTTACGAGCATATAAATTATTTGAGTAAATGTATGCCGCAATCGTGATACCAGTCTCCTTAAACTTTTCTCTGAGAGAAACCCGAGAGCCTAGACGGTACACAGAACGAATCGCTCGTTTTTGCAATACAAATATGGTTTGAATATCTACCGCTTTACCCCACATGAGACTCCCGTAGGACATTATACTATGGAAGTAACTAAAGTAAACTACTCTAGCAGTACTAACATCGGTAAGCTCACGTATTGTGCGGATTGCGTATGCAGCGGAGCTTAATCTGCTGGCCAGAGAAAATATATGTGGAAACCATTGAAGTTTACTATTTAAGGTCACTCCCAAGAAGACTGCTTTATTAACAAGGTCTAACTTTTCTCCGTTTATTTCTATGCTTGGACTAGTTCATTTTACGTTAGGTGATTCAAATTTAACACATTTTGTCTTCTTGGCATTAAGCAATAAATTGTTAGCATTAAACCAATAAACTACCTTAGAGGGGGTATCATTAATGTGGTCTTAATTATTGTATATGTCTCTCTGTTTTAAAAATCAAGGATATGTCGTCAGCAAACAATACTATTTCGCATTGGTCCTTAACAAAGAATGGCAGATCATCAATATAAATCAGAAATAAGAAAGGTCCAAGATTGAGCCCTGCAGAGCACCCATTTTTACCGGAGAACCCAAACGGAACGAAACGAAGTCACTCCATTTATGTCTACTTTCTGTATTCTATTGAGATGTGACAAGACAAGTTGTCGGAACTTGTCCTTGCCATTTACACCGTAATATTCCAGCTTCCTAATAGGAGTAATATGGTCAAAGGAATCAAATGCCTTTGAGAGATCACAGAAAACACCAATAGCGTTCTGGGACCTTTCCCCAGCATCAAAGATGTGTTTTAGTAACCCTATCCCCGCATCGTTAGTCGATCTACCACTAGTAAACCCGTATTGTTCACTATGAAAAATATGATTCCTACCGAAATAGGACAGCAAATTGAGTCAGCATAACCTTTACTACTACGAATATTTTGTTTAAAGCTCTAAAATTGAAATGGGCCTATAGCTAGGATCAACTTTCTTACGACTTTTGAATACGAGAATAACCTTGCTGTATTTCATTAAATCCGGAGAAACACCTTCGTCAACGCACCTATTGAAAGCTAGCGCTAAATGTGGGGAAATTAGATCAATAACTGAGTCAATGACTTTAGCTGATATGCCCCAAAGATCTTCAGTTTTTTTAACATGTATTGATTTAAAAGTTATTATGATGTCTTGTGAGTTAACATGACGGAAATTAAATAAACTGCCACAAACGTTAGGAGATCAATAGCAAGAGAAGGGGAGGAATTTAATGATTCTGTAGTGTTCACAGCAACTTCCCAAAAAAAAAAACAATTCAAAAGCTTGGACTACCTTGACTTTAGATTTTATAAGTTTGCCTTCTTATTCTAAAACTATATCTCTATCGTGTTGTTTAACCCTGCCTGACTTTTTATTTATTATGCTCCAAGTAGTTTTAGATTTATTTATCGATTGTCTAATTTTGTCGCTGTGCAACTTAACCTTAGCAGCTACACATACTTTTTAAAATAATTTCTAACATATTCTATAAAATTGGAATTAGTATTATCAGTTTTCATTCATTTTCATGCGCTCGGTGTTTTATTACAACAAAATTTTATACGTATTTAGTGTTGCCTTTATGATATTTTTTTATGACATCAAGTGACAGGACAGCGACACATCTGTTCATAACAGCTCCAGTGCCACTCTGAGCTTTAAATCGCAAGGACATTCGAGTTTATTAAAAACCGGAACGCAGCAATGTAAGCATTACTGCTTGGTGGCAAAAATAGTCAAGGTGGCAATACTTCCCTGTACAAAATTTTAGACAAGGAGTTCTAATGCTAATATGTTAAGCTACTTGATACGTGAAATGGATTTATACCACAAAATCGATAAATCGAATTAGCCGTCTTGACAAATTTCGTCTCTCTCGTCAAGGGTAAAATTCGACCCTGTTAGTCGTTCGTGCTTTGTTTAACGAGTTTCACTTGGTGATCGAGTGCTGTTACTTTTGTTTTAATTTAGTAAGATTCACAAGCCTAGGGTATCAACTTACGAGTTAGACGAGATATGCAAGGAACGTCTTACGTTTACAGCCATATTATTGATATTATTAGAAATAATATCAATAATTTGTGTAATAAAATAAAATTTTTCGAAAATCTATAAAAATGTATTACATTTTGTAAGGTAACATTACTACAAGTCTGACAAGTTTAGTGATAGTCTATAAAAAAAATATGTAAACAAAAATTGTTGTCACCATACCCGTTCTACTACTTACTACTACGTGAAAAAAGACGTTTATTATAAACAATTAAATAACGCACACACTCACATACTCATAGCCACGTACTAGGGAAACTCTGTATTGCGGGTGCCATGGACACTGGAACTGGAAATAAATTTAGGCCATACAAAAATTTCTCTAGGCCCAGGCGTCGAACCCTATAGACTAGCATGGTAACCGTTCGACTACAGAAGCAGTTTTGATTCGAAAAGCCTCAACGACAGGGAATCGAAGTCGTGCTTCCTATATGTGTGAAACATATTAAAGCTAGATACGTATTCTTTCCTTTCTACATAATCTTAAAGTTCATTTTCCTTTATTCACCTTCAAGTTATCACTTTTAAAAATCTTGAGTCGGTCCAAAGAGCTAGCAAATTGCTGGGGGAGCCAAATCGGTGGCAATTCTCAGTAAGTGCATAAGGTGCATTAAGACTCATTGCATCGCTCTCGTTGCAAATGAGCTTGTGGCTAACGCCTTACTTTGTATGAATGTGGACGAGATTGGGTGGAAATGGTTCAACCTAATTATAGAGTTAGCATTAGTTAAAAGTGTAATTGCTACTTCTCAAACTCCACTATGTGTGCAAAATGAGCCTCAGAAGGGTGTGACACATTTTAGGTCGTGTTAGGGTGGCCTTCTATTGCCACCGCTCAACTTTATCTTGTGGAGGATAGAGTTTATGTTGCATAGCTCATTTTAAAGCATCGCACCGTCGTGTAGCATGGCTGTGTCAAATAAAGGCGACCTCTATTCATTCTTTTTTATTGGCATGCTGTGAATTCAGTAAGTATGGATTATAGCGGATTTTGCATTGGTTTTTGCAGCTTTCGTAATCTTGTTAACTGAAACCGAAATATTATGCATGAAATACTGATTAATACTGGCCTAATGCGAAATTAGGTACTTTAATTTACCGATATTACTAATCTTTATTATTTATACGTTCCATAATGTACTGACGGCAGAATATTGAGTTACACATTGGCGGATACAGTTCCATTACACTGGACGCGATATTCGAACAAAAATGTATACTTTGATGTACTGTTGACTGCACATTACAGATGTTTTCATTACTAATATTGGGATCAAATTATGGACCCTGAACAGATCACAGCAGATCGACCAACTCTGAACGATCGAGTTGTATTTATTTGCTATTCAATTACGACACCACACTATGAACGAACACAGTAGGTATATTTATATTTTTGCAATTTTTGTGTACGTTTTTTGTTCTATACATATAACACACAGCAGCAACACAATGTTCAATGAACACATACACAAGGATTTACATAGTTTACTTTATTTTGCGACACAAACATCGTCACTCATTTCGGCTTAGGACTCATTGAAAACTACATAAATATAGAAAAAATGAAAAACTAGCGCTACAGCCTAATTATGGCTTTGGCATAATCTGAATGGGATCCTTTTGCGTACGTCACAACC